GTTGGGGGAGAAAATGCAGAAAACAAAACAAAACAAAACCTGTCTCAGGAGGCACGTTATCACCCTAGCATAACATGAACTAGGTGGCAGACAGGGAAGAACCTAGAAAAGCCTGCTCGTTGGGCTCCCCTCTGTATTCTTCTGTTTCAGCGTGGCCAAAACACTTGTTTTCCAAACATTTGCTCCCTTCCACCTCCCTGTGAATTGCCTTCCTTCCCTTTGAAGTCCCTGACTCTCCCAACCAACCCCCAATATCTTCTTCTGTCTTTAGCTGAGGATGGTATTTAAGGGAGGGCTTTGGCCATTTTGATGAGTTACTTGGTTTTCCTGGGTTTCTCCCATGTATACATCTTATTAAACTTTTTTTCTTCCTGTTAATCTGCCTCATGTCAATTTAATTCTTAGATCAGCCAGAAGAACCTAGAAAAGTAGAGGAAAATTTCTTCCTTCCCTATAGTACTTACACAAACCTAGACGGTATAGTCGACTACACACCTGGGCGATATGGTACTAACCTTGTGGGACCACCATTGCATATGCAGTCCATCACTGAAAGAAATGTTGTTATTCAACACATGACTGTGAAGTGAAAGATCCATTGTTTCTATCTCCAGAGCACTGACAGAGAGGAGGCAGGTAGGGAGGGCGGAGGAAGGATAATATAAGGGAATAGCAGCAAAGAGGAGACAATCTAGTTAAGCAAGGGTGTAACCATTCTACTGTTTTGTAGCACTTTTACAATTTAGAGATCACTTGCCTCAGTCTCCCAATGACTCAGGTTGGGCGGCATTCTAGTCACAGACTGAGGAAATCCATGCACAGAGAGGTTGTCACTTGCTCACCATGCCTGGTCCACAAGGGCTGAAACTGTGGACACAGTGTTTACAAGCAAGACACGACTTCACAGAGGAACGAGCCTTGAGCTGGGTCATGGGAGGTGTGGAGGGGGATGTTCCAACATCACCGATTTTCAACTTTTCTACCACACACACGACGGATAACATTGACCATAACGACATATCCAAGAGGCATACTACGAGATTTAGATGTAATCCCAACCCCATTCCTTTCCTCCAGGAAGGCAAAGAAAGCACTTCAGTAATTCATAAATGTCAAAATTCTTACCAATCACTCAGGGTGTGTGTGTGTGTGCTTGCACACATGTTTAATCACTCAGGGTAAATATGTGTGTGCACATGCATATTTAATTACTCAGAGTTGTGTGTGCGTGCACATGTGTGTTTTGAGGGTGCTGTGGCATAGGTGAGAGAAAGTAGCTTATTCTCAAATTCCATCTCCCTTCTAGCTCTACCTTTTCTCTCCTGCTCAAGGAAGCAGAACAGACATGAAAGTATTGTTAGTATCCTCAAACTTCTTGTGACAACTCACACCTAATTATGCCTCCCCCAGGGTGTTGCAACTCTTGACCTGAATCTCCTGTTCTATGAGGAGCAGACAATAGAAGCCACACAGGCATGGTGGTTGAAACAGTACTTCTCTGGGCACAACTCAGGGGATGGGGGCGGGGTGGGGGGGGGGTGGGGGACACAGCAACCATTCACATTCTGTTCTATGAAAATAGCAATCCTGAAGTTATCTGACACAGCAGCAAGGGTTATGGGTACTGTCACAGACAACATGTACTAAGGAATGGGTCCAAATTCCAGAAGGTCTCAAAGGCAGGCAGAGTTAACATTTAAGAGCCCACGGGTCACAAGGGTGGGTTTTGCAGTCAGGCAAACCGGGCTTGAATGCCTTTTCTGCCTTTGTGTGCCCTTGGCAATTTAACTCTCAATCTTTCAGCCTCCTCTTCTCCAAAATGGGTGGTAGTGAGGATTGACTGAAAATGTGTATTGATGTATAGAGCGCTTAAGATAGCACCAACACATGGCACAAACACACACTTGGACACACTGACAAATTAACATTCTGACTGTATAATTTCACACTCCGGGGATTAACTACCTTTCCAAATGAGCCAAACATTGAGGCCAATGATACCTTTTGAATGATCAGCGAGTCCTAACGTTCCTCCAAGCTTGGCTAACAATGGGCCTTTTACATGTTCCTGCTCCACTCAGTTTTAAATGATGGTGCACTGTGCATTCTGACAACTATTCTTTATGGGCCTGTTCTGTGGCAGGCGCTGTGCTGGCTTCTGTACATTATTTTCCTTCATTTGATTGGCAAAGGCCTTAGGCTCCAGGCAGTGTGATGGACAGAACTGCCCGAATTCTGCCTGAATTGCAAAACCTTGATTTAGATGCCACGTTTCTTGGTAGAATTGGTGAGTCATTTCAGCTCTGAACCTTAGTTTTCACCTCTAAAATTCAGAGGCTGGTAGAATAGGAAAAATGAGAAGCCAGCAGGGGCAGCTCGCGATGGGTCTTATCTATGAGAGAAAGGAGTTAGCACTTTCAAGTGCAGTGGGAAAGTACCTTACTCTTTGCAGAGTTTGAAGCAAGAATGTTTATGTGATCAGAAATATGTTTTAAAACCATCTCTTGGCTACTCTCCGGAGAGCGTTGGATAAGAGGGCTGTGTAAAGCTCTCAGCACTGAAATACTCCCAAATCTTCTATCTGAGCCCAGACCTACTCTCTCAGCCAACTGTCTACTTGGCACATCCTCTTGGTGTCAAGAAGGCATATCTGACTTAATATGAGCAAAGCAGATTTTGAATATTCACCTAGCCCCCACCTCAGAAAAGTTAAAAATTTAGGTGCCATCCGTGTGTCCCCCTTTCCTTCACCATTCACATGCAATCCATCACCAAATGCTGCTGGCTTTCCAAACGAGGAAGGTCTCCATTGCCTCCACCCTAGTGTGAGCCACAACTGTCCTCTTCTCTGGGCCTGCACAGCTCTAACTGCCCTTCTGGCTCCCAATCCATTTGCCATGAAGTGATCTTTAAAAATCTGTCTGATTATTGCACCCCTATGTTCATTGCAGCATTATTTACAATAGCCAAGACATGGAACCAACCTACATGCCCAGAAACTGATGATTGGATAAAGAAGATATGGTATATATACACAATGGAATACTACTCAGCCATAAAAAAAGACAAAATTGGCCCATTCGCAGCAACGTGGACGGACCTCAAGGGTATTATGTTAAGCGAAATAAGCCAGTCAGAGAAAGACGAACTCTATATAACTCCACTCATAGGTGGAAGTTAACATATTGACAAGGAGATCTGATGGGTGGTTACCAGGGAAAAGGGGGGGTGGGGGGAGGGCACAAAGGGGGAAGTGGTATACCCACAACATGACTAACAATAATGTACAACTGAAATCTCACAAGGTTGTAATCTATCATAACATTAATAAAAAAAAAAAAATCTGTCTGATTATGTCCCTCCTAAAGCGTAAAATTCTGTCTTCCTTTTGCTCTTTAGTGTAAATTTCTTGCCTCATGAGGTCCTGCATGATGGGTTCCTCTCTCCTCCATTGACACGTTGCTCACCAGACCCAACTATACAGATTTCTTTCTTTTCCTTAAACACACTGAGCTCCTTCCAGTGTCTGGGCCTTTGTGTTGCTGTGCTCTCTGTTGGGAACACATCCCCCTCAGCTCTTGGCATGGTGGCAACTTCTCATTCTTTGGTTCAGAGAGAAATCCCTGATTGCTCTGGCTAAAGTAGCCTCCCCTAGTTATTTATCACCCTTTTACTTTCTTCAATGCAGTTATCACAACCAACTATTTTGTTTACTTGTTGTAGCAGGTAGACTCTAAGGTGGAGCCCGTGATCCCCATCTGTGGTATGCATGCCCTTGAGTGATCTCCTCCTCTGAGTATGGGTGGGACCTGTGACTGCTTCAAGGAACTGGATGCTGCCAATGTCCATGTGGGCTTGGATGTGGATCCTTCCCCAGTCGAGCCTCAAATGAGAACCCAGCCCTGGCAAGCCTGATTGCATTCTTGCAAAGGACCCAGCTAACCTGTGCCTGAACTCCCAACACAATGAAAACTTGAGATAATAAACATGTGTTCTTTTAAGACTATAGTTCATGGTAAAATGTTACACAGCAACAGGTAACTACTACACTTGTTACATGACTGGCATTAGAAAGGAAACTTCAGGAGGCCAGGGACCTTTTCATTCTTCATTACTGAAGCCTCAGAACCCAGCTGGGTAGATAGCAGACAGATAACAGCAGACACTTTCATGAAAGAAAGAAACACTCAATAAACTGTTAATATTAATACCCCCGATATTGGCAGGAACAGGCAGTCCTTATTTTCTAATAGAGGTGATGCCACCTTTAGTGACAGCTGTGGCTGATGGTCATGGGATGCAGAAAAGTTTCCAAATTAAGGTCTGTAAGTCCTCCTGTGGCAAGCAGCAAGCATTTGTTTTTGTCTGCCCTACATATATTTCCTTTTCTTCTCATATTCCTTTGGGAGCCTCCTCCCATCTCTCTGCACCCCAGCACCCTGACTCTATTTGGAAACAGTGGGGCTGACCTACCCACTCCCTTGGTTCCTAAATGGACACATGTCCCAGCCCTGCCCTATCAGCATATTCCATCCCCCTGGCCACTGTGATTGGTTCAGGGTTGCTCTCATGACCCAAGTCTGTCCAATCAGAGCCAAACCCAGAATATTTGTATGTACTATTGGAAAAGAACAGCTTCCTTGTCCAATACGGAATGCTAACTGCAAGGCTGATGAAAACCAGAGATGCTGGGACCTCCAAGTGGGGAGGGCCTCCCTGAAAAAGCAGCTCACACCAAGAAAAGCAGTGCTGAAAGACGAAGGGAGATGCTGAACGATACCACAGGAGCCCTGGATTCAGCAGTGCCCGAAGATCTACCCCTTGGCTCTTTCGTTGAATGAAATTAATCCTGCCTCCTGCTTTTTCAATCCACTTTGAGTTCAGTGTCTATCACTAGAAACTAAAAAAGCCACATTACCCAAGATATGCCATGAAATCAACAGAAGGAATAAGCAGGTCTGATGTCTGGAGAGGGAGGGACTAAAGAGTAAAGAAAAAAGCTAGTCTAAATAAATATTTATTGAATGAAAAGCCACAGCAAACCAACCACTGAAGAAGAAATCCCATAGAGTTTTTAAAATTGTTGTAGTCCTTTAGTATTACATAGGACTTTTTAAAGAAATGGCTTAACGGCAAGTTCTTTAAAACAATACAAAAGTATCAAGTGCAAACATTTAAAAGAGTAACAGCACGTAACAGTACTCAACAGTGGAAACTATAGGTTTAGACTTTTAAAAAATGGTCTTGGCCATAAAGTTTGGACTCTATTTTCCAACTTTGTCTGAGGGGCCATTATCACCAACTGTTGCTATTCTTTCTGACAAAAAGCTAATAAGGCAGAAGAGATGGTTCTGTTTGGAATTTTTCCCCCTACCTCTTGTTTCAAGTGAAGAAATAAACAGCTTCTCTCATTTCCAAAAACATCATAAAATAAAACAGAAGAAAAAGAAAAAACAATCCATTTTTGCCCCAAATTGGGCTTTTGGACAAAGATCTGAGCCTTTGGGGTCAAGCTGCCTGGCTCTAGAGGCTCAGGATCCTGCCAAGGTCAAGTCTGCATATCTGGGGAGCAGGGGGTGAGAGGCAGGAGGAGCTGATAAGCCACTGCAGTTCTCTGCTGATTCTCCAGGTGAGGGTGGGTGAGCCCACAGAATTGACACAAGAGCAACAAAATCTCCAATTTGCCTCTGTAGGATCCTACAAATAAGTGAGAAGGCTAGAGGCCACCTCCAAGGAGTGCTTGACTACCTGGCCCCCTTCTCAGTCATAATCCTGAGGGGCATGCATGATCCAACAGCCTTCCAGAACTGCACGGAAGAACGCTCTGGTTCCATTCAGCCGGTCATTCCTGGTAAAGCCCCTCCAAGTCTGTGGACTTCATAGCCAGCTGACAGTCGCCACTGGAGTTTTGTTGTGTGAATGATCTGTTTGGGAACAAGAGGAAATGGTTAGCTATAGGACCTCTTTAAAGAAGCAATGTAGAGAGTGTCCATAGCTAAATATATGACATTCATTGTTGGCTTATTCTTAGCTGTTTCTTGCAACCATATCAGATTTGGGGCTATACCAAGTTTACAGATGAGAAAACTGAAAGCACAAGAGGTGAAAATGACTGAGTTAGGGATGGGGATTATCATTCATCTGCCCTGCTCTAATTTGGATATTGTGTTTTTCCCAGTTGTTGCCTGTGTGCTCATGAAAGGTAGAGCAAGGAGTAGCCCTATTTTACCAATGAAAGAAAACTGAGAACAGAGAAGTTACACAGCTTGTTCAAGATCACACAGCTGAAAAATGGCAGAGCTGGAATTCAGACCCATAACTTCTGATTCTAATTAGCTGACCATTCCTTGACATCTTCAACAGAAGGGAGGTGGTAAGGGGAAAGGGAGAGAAATAGGTCTGTCCTTTTTGGTCCCTGTGGCGGTAGGTATTAGAGGGAAGTGAGAGGGGAGGTATCTATAGTAACTGGATCTATGGATTATCTTTGAATTTCAAATAGCCTTGCCATCGCTGACACCCCACTGTAGGAAACTATGGCACACCCAAGAGGCTGGCTGACCAACACACATCCCCAAGATCCTTCTCCTTGTGAGTTTATACTACAGAAGCTGAGAAGGCTGAACACTCCATCTTCCAGCCTCCCTTCCAGCTAAGAGTGGCCATCTGACAAAATTCTACCCAAGGAAGTCAGTCGGGGGAGGATGGGGAGAGGTCCTGGGAAAGATTTCACTTACTTGATAGAAAGGGTCTGACTCAATTGGTGAGGGAGGACTCATTTTTGTCTCCCTTCATCCTGCCTTGAATGTAGTTGGTGCACCCAGAGTCCCAGCAGCTTTCCTGTAGCCATGAAGTAGCAAACCAATGGTCTGAGGATGGCAATGCAGAAAGGCAGAAGTTGCCTGATATACTGATGAAACCATGAGAGTGGCTGTAACCAGCCCTGGGGTATCTCCATCTTTTTGTTATGCAATAAAAATACACCCCTATTTGTTTAAGCTAGTATCTACTTAGGTTTTTCATTATTGCCACCCAAAGCATTCCTACCTAGTAACAAAAAACTAAGAAGGAAACCTTACTTCTTCTTAAGCTGAGACGTGAGGGGGCTAGGCATACTTTGGTTGCTTAGGGAGACTGAGTGTGATGTAAGATAAATGATGTGGTGGTTCCACAAATGACACAGGCTGCCCCAGCTTCCCCACCATCCCCAAACTGTGAGCCTGGAAGGTCTTGCTGACTCCCTAACAAAGGAGCGTGGTCTTCCCTTCTCAGAGGCTAGTTTATTGTCACAGGAGGCAGGCCAATGTATTTCTTCAAAAGACTATTTAGCCAATTTTCATAATTAACATCATCTTTTAAGTTTTGTTTCCTTTTTAAAAATTTTAGTTGTGTTATCTTTTGTTTTAGTGTCAAAGTCCCATTTGCATCACAGAATAAAGTAGAGAGTTCCTCTTTCGTTCCCCCATGCTTTGGATCATTTAACAAGGGAGGTGTCTATTTCCTGAGTTTTAAAGAATTCACTAGTGCAGGGGATTTCAGATGACAACTATTCTCATAATAACATGACATACGCTAGGCCTTTTTTACTCTCAGTCTCTCACAAAGGCAAGCAGAGTTTTTTACAGTGTATTTGGAAGAGCTCCAAGACTCAAGAAACGAATATTTTCCAAATGACCACTGCATGAAGTTACAAACTCACGCATGGGAAAAGATCTAATGAAAGTGTAAGACAGACCAGTGGACAAAAAGTTCACATTTCAATTAACCTCTAAGAGACTACCACTTATCGAGTCTTGCTGTTCTATCAAAGAAGAACATCCAAACAGTCATCTGAAAAAGCTCTTGCTCCCCTTTCCAACCACACATTTGTGAGGCTGGGTCTTCTTCAAATACTGCAACCAAAGTAACACGTCACAACAGAATGAATGCAGATACCCAAATGAGAACCCAGTTGACTTCTATGGAGGCAGACATGGAAGATATTTGCAAAATGTACAACAGTACACTCATTCAATTCATTTTGTATTGGAAAATATTGTTACTTTTCATAAAAATATGTTTTTGGTCAACAGGTAATATTGTTCTTTTTAAATGAATAAATATTTTTAAAATTTCTATTATAATTCTCAATACAGTAGTTATCAATACACTGAAACCACATAAACAAAAACTCTTTGGAAGCCTCAATAATTTTTAAGAAGATAAAATGGGTCCTGAGAAGAGAAAGCTTGAGAACCGCTGCCCTAGTGAAAACAATGGGTCCACGTGCTTCGGCTGGGAGGAGCCGGGGAGGATAAGAGATTAAGGATGAATCTTGGATATCCTTCTCAAGATTTATCTCTTCGCTGATAAATAGGTATTCAGATTTTCCTACTTCCTGTGGTACAGCTGAGCAGGGTTCAGAGGCGGGCAGGAATTCTGGCTCAGAAGTATCAGCCCCAATAAGCCAAGCAGGTCAGTATTTCTTCTTTTATCTCCTTTAAGACTGACAGTGATCACAAGAAATTTACGAGAAATTGGATGTAACTCCAGGGACATCAATTAAGCAATGCGATGAGGACCACTGCTGAGCAATCTTAAATTATACCTACTTCATATTTTATTTTTCAACATATGAGTAACAACAGGGTAACCTTTTGGTAACAAGTTCAAGGGCTATTCTGTAGAAAAACAAAGTTCAGGACATCGGTTCTTTTAGAGCAAGGGTTGGTAAACCATGGGCCCTAGGGCCAAACCCATCCTGCTAGTTGTTTTTGTAAATAAACTTTTATTGGAACACAGCCATGCTCATTTTTTGTTTATTGTCTATGTTGCTTTCATGCTACAGCAACAGAGATCACGTGGCGTGCAAAGCCTAAAATATTTACTGTCTGGCCCTTTACAGAAATTGTCTACCAATCCCTGTTTTAGAGTCACTTTATATCTTGGTTAAGAAGTTTTGGAGTTAACTGACCTGGATTTAATAAGTCCCTTCTCTGTTTTGGGATTTGCCTTCATTTTTCTTATCACAGAATAGGGCTAGTACCTGCCCCACAGGGTGGGTGTGAGGATTACGTGAGCTAAGGCCTGGAAAGTGCAGAGCGGAGTCCCTGGTGCAGAGCAAGTGCTCGATGGGTCCCAGCCACTGTCCTCACTTCAGCAAGAGCTTACATGAAGCACAATGGAGTCACATCCCAATTGAGACTCAGATTCTAAAACCAACAAGGACAAAAAGACATAAATCAAGCATAAAAAAAAAAATCACCTCTGAAAATCCCTTAGCAGGTGGCCTATTATAGACAAACATACTGTCTTCTGGTAATTTCAACACAGCTGGTTTCCCCTCCAGCATTTAAATAGATCACTCGTCCCTCCATGGAGGCCCCAGACGAAGTAGCTGGCATTTAGGAGCCATAACGTAGGAACAGAATCCATATGTTCAAACACGAGATTCATACTCTGAAGAGCAGAGGGGATCAAGACAGGCTATGGGAACAGTAGACTCACGGCTCCCATGCCACCGGGGGTTTGTGCACGCTGAGTAGAATAGCAGCTCATTGCTCTCCTGTTGTTCTCCCCTCCCCTCAAGAAAAACATCTTAATTTGAGTTTTCGTAAATTTAATGGATGTCTTTTAAAAGGAATCAATAATAACTACATCGTAGAGTTGCCATGACAACGAGTTACCACACATGGTACATGACGATAGTCATGTTTTCGTTTGCAACACCATTGTCACTCCCCAATTGACGTCTGATACGTATGGGGAACTATGATGAACACCTGCTTCTTACAATTTTGCTTCAAGACAATGACTAGAGTTAGGATATTATTTGTGAAAATCTCCCCAAATAGTAAAGATTAAATCATTGCATTGACATGTATTTACCTGGGAGAAAACCAGTAGTTGACGAGGCTGGAGACCACCATGTAGGACACTATAATTGTCCCCGATATGATGAGTGACACGAAACCCAAGCCACAGAGGACACAAAGCAGTGAGAGTCCGCCCACAGAGATGATCAGTCCTAGAGGAGAGTATGATTAGAAGAAGCACTCATCTAAAACAGGTTGAAAGTTGCCAAACCCTGGGCCACTGTGTTTACAATGACAGTTAACCCAGATTTTTTTTTTTTTTTTCTTTTTCAGGAAGATTAGCCCTGAGCTAACATCTGCTGCCGATCCTCCTCTTTTTTGCTGAGGAAGATTGGCCCTGAGCTAACATCTGTGCCCATCTTCCTCGACTTTATATGTGGGACGCCTACCACAGCATGGCTTGCCAAGCAGTGCCATGTCTGCACCCAGGATCCGAACTGACCAACCCCAGGCCACTGAAGCGGAACATGGGCATTTAACTACTGTGCCACAGGCCGGCCCCTAACTCAGATTTTTTTAAGTGAGATTTCCCATAAAAATCCAGGTTTCCAGCATCACTTAAAAATGAAGTGATCTAATCACTCCAGTGGGCATGACTGCAAGGCAAACGGTGTATGGCCAACACCCTTCCCTCTGCCTAGGGAGTGGTCAAATAGCCCAGTACTCCTTCCCCACAGCCACAGTGACAGTTTCAGGGATGGACCCTGGAAAGAAAGGAAAGCAGAGAACACAAACGGATGAGCTGCCTTCTTATGGAGATTTACAAAATCCTAGATCAGTGTTTTTCAAAGTGTGGCCAACAACCACTGTGTCAGAATCAGATGCATGAGGGAGACTTGTTAAAAACTCAGATTTTGGGATCTCACTCCAGACCTACTCAATAACAATCTCTGGATGAGGCCTCGAAGTCTGCATTTTCAAAAAGCAAGTAAGATTTATGCACAGTCAAGTTTGAGAACCATTGCTCTAAAGGCTTTGCACATGCTGTTCCTCCTGTCTAGAAAGCCCTTCCTTGCCCACCCTGAGACAAAGTGGTTACACATCTTTAAAGTCCTGTCTTCTGTAAAGCTTTGCATGATACCACCAAAATGTAGTGGTTCCCTTCTTTCTCTCTAAATTTACTTTTGTCATTACACTCATTTGTTCATTCGCCCATCTATCCATCAATATTTACAGAACCACCACTCTGCCAGGCTGTATTTGGCTCGTCTGCCTACCATGCCCACTTTCTCCTTTTAGAGTAAACTTCCTTGTCCACAGTCCCCCGGGCAGGGAAAAACCCTGGGTGTTCTTAGTTCTGGGAAGCTATAGAATGGGCCATAGGTGATCAATCACCTGACCGGATGACAACCATTTCTTTGGCCAGTATCTTGTGGTTTGTGATCTGACTTGAAAAGGCAAAATGAGCAAATCAGATTTGCTTTCTCAGTAATTTTAACTTAGCAACACAGGGAGAAGTTGACAGTTGGCAGTGAGACTTCAGGAGGAATGGTGGAGAAGGGGGCACCTCAGTACCTAGCAAGGCACCTGACTGCAAGAGGTGCTTGATACCTGGCTGTGAAGTGAATGGCCTATTTAACGATAATGGTTAGCATTCAAGGAGAAGCTACTCTGTGCCATGGATTGTGCTAAGTACACTATGGAACTGTAAGTTTCAATTCTCATAATAACCCCTTGAGATAGTATTATTATATCCCCATTTTACATAAGAGGAAGTTGGGGCTCAGAGAAGGTAAATAACTTGTCCAAAATCACACTGGTGGAGACGGGATTCTAATGTGGACTCCCGAGTCCATGTTTCTGACAAGCTGCCGTGGTTGATGTGATTTTGAGAAGAATAGGAATCTTCGACAAGAGTGGCAGATGTCCAATAAATACTGTCCTCCTAGATGAGTCATTTTCCAAGGGGAAGAATAACTGAGCAGGATACCTTCCAGTAATATGACTCCCACAAAAGCGACCAGGAAGGTAAGCACCACGAGGAGCAGGAAGAACCCAACAGGAACGGCCGACATCGCAGCAAACACCAGCAAGGTGAGAGCCACAAAAGGATGCCTGTCCAGGTACTGACCCACTGGAGACTTCATAAGGGCTACCACCTGTGGGCAAAGGAAAAGGAGGCAGGATTGAATGTCATATCTGAATTACAGGTTGATGGACCTGTCCAAGCTGTGGAAAGTACAACCAGAGGTCATAGAGTTGAACAGCTCATAAGTAAGAAGTCAACAATAACAATCCTCCCAAGACATGAGTCACCCTGGCAACAACTTAAGGCAGCTATGGACAGATGACAAGTTTGAGGGCCCCACCCAACCTCAAGCCTTATGAAAGGAGGAGACTCAGTCATGGCTCTACTGCTTAATACACCCTCTCAGAAGACACTCTCAGCATAAGTGTGCACTGATGCAACGTACATACAATTTGCTGCCTCCTTCACAACTCAGGTGTTCATAGTTGAGGCCTCTGAGGCACAGAGAGGTTAAGTCCTAGCTACTTGGCATCACCTGGGAGTTTGTTAGAAATGCAGCATCTGGGGCCCTGCCCTATACCTGCTGAATCAGATTCTGCTTTTTAACGAGACCCCCAGGCGATGTGGACATACATTAAAGTTTGAGAAACAATGGGACTAAATGACTCGTCTAGAGTCGCACAGCTTCCAAGATGCAAAATCTAGGCATTCAAAGCTAAATCTTTTCACTCTCAATGCCAAATGCTTGCAATGGCTGCCATCTCATTAGGAAAAAATGCTATTATGTCATCAACTTGGATACTGTAGTTGGACCATAGCCTGATGACTATTGCAAACTCATGCTGTATTAATAAATAGATGATCTTCACCAGGCAAAAGGATTTTTGGATCTGGCTCAATGGAGGATGACAGCTTTAATGCAAAGCTGGCCCTGGGCACCCCACAAGGATGGGCTTCTCCCCTCTTCTAAGGCCACATGCTGTCTCTCTCCTCAGTAATGGCACGCTAGTTCCTGTTCCGTTGAAAGGTTCCATCATTCCAGAACTTTCCCCCATCAAAACTGGTCCTTCTCGTGTCTTATTCCTTAGGGCCTCGTAGGCCAGCAGTTGAAAGGAAGACCTAATTCAAACTATAGTGATCACAGGTGCCACTACACCAAAACAAACGTACCTCCTAGAAATAGTTGTTCACTCAAGTGATTCAAGTGGTGGGAATCTGGGGGCAAATCGGAAAGCAGGAGGGTTTTGTAGTTTATGATACAGTGACCAAAGCACAGGGTTCACCCTGCTTAAATAGAAAAGAACCGTTCCAAGAGGCCACCACCATCAGTCTTGGGACCTCAGCATTGCCTCTGAAGGGAACTCTGGAGGCACAACAAATTTCACTTCCTGCCAGGCCACAAAATGGCATAATGCCCACTAGCTACACTGCCTCCAGCGACTCCTTTCTGACAAAAGCTACCGAAGACTTGGCTATGCAGCTTCTCTAAGACCAGGAACTGCCTGTGAGCTGAGACTGCCCAGCTCAGATACTCTAGGATTAGAAAACAATGAGATTCTCCTGCTAGGGCGGCTAAAGGTAAGAGAGAGGTAGGGGGCCACAGGAGTTGGGTTGTCCCCATGAGCTGTCTCAGGCTTTGTTTGCTATGTCGCTCTAGTCCACGTGGAGCCTTAGTAAACCACCCAGGTGTCATCTGACAGACTGAACTGTTCTCTCTGATCCTTATCATCAAGAGACCCCGTCCCACAGCGGGGAGGCTGGAATACCAGGATACCAAGCTTAGGAGTTTATACCTGACTGTCCAGCACAGTAGCCACATGTGGCCATTGAGCACTTGAAATGGGGCTAGTGTGACTGATGAACTGGATTGTCATTTAAGTTAATTAACTTAATTTAAATATATTTGATTCAGTCATTGGAAAATTTTTAATTACATTTCAAATAAGTTGGGTATGTTTCAAATAAGTTTTTTAAGCTCAATATAACTTTATCTAGAAAAATAAACCAGAAGCAAACTACTGGCATATGAGCAGGACTGTGAAATAACCAAAGAAATAAAGAAAGATGCACATGGCAGTCCTGTGTAAGAGGCAATTAGGAAGATTTGCAGGAAGTCAGATGGCCAAATTAGGCTGATGGCAGAGAGGGAAGAGGAGGAGGAGATGCAGTATGAAAGTGGATGAAGAGAAAAATCAACAGGACCTGGAGACAGTTTGGCATGGGGATACGAGAGAAAGGCAAGAAGGTTCTACTTCTATAGTCCTTAAGGAATCTGCTTTTTTCTTAGCCTCTTCTGCATCTGGGCCCTATAACCATAAAAGAGAAAGTCATCCCAATATGCAGAGAGACCATATGAAGAGGCAGATAGTTAAGCCCAGCCACTCTCTTCCCCAAGGGAGTATGGCCCTCCTGGGGCCAGTCTGTTAGGGAAAAGGAGGACATGATTCAGTTCTGCCCAATAAGAATGAGAACGGTCATTAAATACTCACATACCAAGCACTGTTTTAAGTGCTTTCAATGTATTTCCTCATTTATTTCTCCCTACAATACTACAACGAGGTAACGAGGAACTACTTAACACTATTTAAATCCAGGGGATTAGTTGTGCTGGACAATTAATTTTCATTCTCCCAGAAACAGAGGGAGACATAGTGGGAGGATGGAAAGTGAGAGAGCTTACTCAGTGACATGCACCGCAATTTTCAAACCCATCCTGGAAGTGGGCACAGGTTATCCAACCTAGGTTTTATAGGCACGGTGCTATGCTGAAGAGCCCAGGAATGCCAGGCTGAGACAGACTGGCACCATTATGTGCCAGGCTCTGTGCTAAAGCCTTTTCAAACAGCATCTGAGATCATCCTCACAACAAACCTATGAGCCTGGCATCGCTTATTTTAGAGAAGAGGACATGGCGATTCAATGAGCCTAAGCGAGTTGCCCAAGGTCAGACAGAGGTGATTTATTTTAAAATGCACACGAGTATGGGAGGTTCCAAAGTAGGGGCAACATGGCCAGTATTTAAGGACGTAAAGGCTCCATCTGGGACTATTCAGGAGATAGGCCAATTCTCTGGTGTTAGAATATGAAAGGTAATCAGCGTCCATCTGTTGTCCCTTGCTACCAGAGGAGGGCAAGGGGTCAGGATTATTTAAAACCAGTGGTAATGACAAGCCCAAGGTGCTCGGTGTGACATTTTCTCCCAGATTACAGTCCCTGGGTGCCCAGTGGTATGCAATTCAGGGTTGGCACAAAGGTGCCCGGGGTCGTAGTTAAAAAACATCCTTTATGGACGGAAAGGTCCAGCATGGAAGCAAAACTATTTTGTCACAGATAATCCACATAAGGAGACACCATGGGGGGCATCTGCCCAGCCTATGCTCCACCTCTCTTCCCTCCTCTCTGAAAACAGCCCTCTCCCACAGCAGGGGTAGGCACCTGAGGCCATATTTACATCAATGAAATGAAAAGCCCCAGCCCAGCTGCCACCTCCCTGGCCACAGGTGACTTGGTCAAGCAGATTCTTGCTCCTAGGAGTCGGGCCCTCCCAGACCAGGTCCCTCAGAGGGCTTCAGCTGGGAGCTGAGGGAGACGTGAGGAGTTGAATGTGCCAGCCTGGGCAATCATGTCTGCCCACATGAATGGAAGAGCCAAGGAAGCCAGGCTGCAGAGAGAGGAGAATGGAGCAGACACACAGGAAAAATTAGATAAGAAGCAACTTCCTGCCTACGGCTTCTAAGTTAATGTTACATTTCCCAAGAGTCCTGGCAAGTGCCATCATTTGTTTGTTTGCTTAAGCTATTTTGAGCACATTTCTGGCTCTAAGTCTAAAAGTAAGGCCATTAAAACTTGATATTCCAGAGGCTTCCCAGAAGAGATGATGGAGTTGTTTCACAAACAATCCATCTGGAAGCCATCTATTCTTACCCGGAATTCAAAGGGCTTATTAACTCTGAGGAAAGGTTAAAAATTACTTGGGGGAAAGAAATCATCTAAATATCCCAGAAACAAGGTGATGGCTATATAAATTATGGTATGTCAATCTGATGGAAGGTTCTACTACCAAGAAAAGCAATCGTTCTAAAGACCTACGCTTCAATATGGCAAAACACCAACATATAATGTCAAGCAAAAACAAAAATATAGAACTACATCTGCTGTAATTACAATCACCATTTATAAAAATTACATGCTGAAGGGGCCTAATAACAATAATGATAATAATAATCACCACCACTGGATTTGTTAGTGATGGGTTTACAGGTGAATTACTTTCCTTTTTCCTTCAATATTACTCTATTAAGACAATTCATATTAATTAATTCAATTAATACAATAAAAAATTTGAAAAGAAACTACTCTACCTCAGGACTATCTGAAGAACATCAGGGCGTAGCCCACTGAATATCTGTCCTATCATTCTGGGAGTTGGCTGGCCTGGAAGTTATCTAGTTCAGATCTATGCCAATGCCCATGGCTGAAGAAGTGAAGAATGCCTACCTCAGAAGGTAGATATGAACATTAAGTGAAGGCATCCCAAATGCCTAGCACAGTGCTTGGCATATAGTAAGTGCTCAACCAAGGTTAATTAATACACAGTCAATCTCTATTATTTGCAGATTCCCTATTTGCAAATTCACCTACTCACCAAAATTGATTTGCAACTCCAAAATCAACACTTGCAGTGCGTTCTTGGACATGTGCACAGCAGTGAAAAACTTGAGTCACCTGACACACATTCCCAGCTGAGATCCAACTAGGTGACAATCTGCCTTCTTGTTTCAGCTCTTTAAGCAACTGTCCTTTTGGTGGTGTAATAAGTGCCACTTTTTCCACATTTTTATATTTTTTGGTTGATGATTTCGCCATTTAAAATGGCACCCATGTGAAAAGTACTGTCCAGTGTTTCTAAGTGTAAAAAGGCTGGCATGTGCCTTAGAGAGAAAATACATGCGTTAGATAAGCTTTGCTCAGGTAAGAGTTATAGTGCTCTTGGCCATGAGTGCGATGTTAGAGTATAAACAATATATATTAAATAAAGTGTCTTTAAAACAAAAATACACATAAGACAGGTTACGTATTGATGGGGTGATGAAAATGTTGTGACCAGAAGTTTGCCAGAACCTAATCCTCTATTTCCTCTAGGAGCAATGGTTCAGTGTTTGCTAATCCCACGTTTGAGACTTTATAGAACATAACTACCACGAACGATAAGACTCAACCATACATGTAGATGGGCATGAGGACCTTTCTTATCGGGCTAACTTCTAGTGACAAGAGACTCAGCCTGCTGACTAAAAAGCTGCTTGTCCAATTTAAAAATAGCTCGCTAAATCCACAGAGTGCCAGAGACATTTGGGGACAAGTCCAGAAAAGTTCTCTATCGAGTATATTGTTCTAGATCGAAAAGTGGTATCTCCTCAGATAGACCCTAGTGGAACTGTGCTGTCCAATACAAAAAAATAGATCCGCAAACAGTTCATTTCAATATTTTTAGGGGTATATTGCACAGGCAAAAACTGTAGAAGGACATACAACAAAATGCTAATAATATTCTCTCTGAGAGCTGTTAGTTTTTTCCCCTGACAAAATGCTGGAAGGCATATAGAAGAAAGAAATAAAGATAAATATGCCAGTTAAAGTGGAATATACTATCTCAAGTCCCATCACCACTGAATTGCTGCTGAACAGCTGAAAAGCAGCTAGTTCCAATTGAAATGTACTCTAAGTGTAAAATACACAATGGATTTCGAAGATAGGAGAAAAAAGAATGCAAAACATCTCAGTAAATTTTTTCACTAATAATTTTTTATAATGATTATATGTGAAATAATACTTTATCAGGTTAAATAAATACATTATTAAAATTAATTTCACCTGCTGCTTCTCACTTTTTAAATGTGGCTACTAGAAAATTTAAATTACCTATGCGGATCACGTCCTATTTCTATTGGACACGGGGTTTCTAGTGGAACAATGGACTCAAATCTTAAAGTAGGCGTTGGTCCCTCATTTTCAGGGTAACAGATAAACCAAAACTAACAACAAACTAAAAAAGAATGGTATCTGTGGCACAGTCTGAGAGAGTCTCCACTCCATATCCAGCTAAAGAATTGCATTTGCCACTAGGGGTGGTCATGCGACTAAATTTTGGTCTACGAGATATAATTGGGAGTGCTGTGTGTGTGACTTCCAGGAGCTCTCCTTAAATTGGAGGTGTCTCGAAAGGCTTTCTTCCCTCTCTCCTCCATCCTATTGCCTGGAATAGGAATACAATGGCAGGTGCTCTAGCAGCCGTCTCAAACAATGAGTTTGAAGGTCACAACTTAGACACAGTAGGGTGGTGAGCTTGAAAGATTTCTGACTTACCTCCAAATTTCTTTCACTTAGGAGAGAAATAGCTTTCTATGTCATTCAAGCTAATGTTATTTTGAGATTTTTCCATTATATGTAGTGATTGGAAACTTACCTCTGAGTTATTCTGGATGGATTCTATCAGCAAAGATAGCTTCCTCTGTAGCTCCTGCAGGTCCTTTGAGATACTTGGGGGCTCCTCTTTCGCCATCCTGAAACCCACTTCAGTCTCTTCAGGGATTAATTGTTCTTCCAGTAAGCTCTCCAGTGCAGGGCACAGCCAAATCTCTCATACCACCCTGTCTCTTACTGTCACTAGAGGAAACAAAAAGGTTCTTAAATCATTAGTGGTTTCACCCAACTAACCCAACAAGAGTTTCTGCTTTCCTTGCACATTGATGGTGGGTGTGCAGATGGAGGATAACTTGGCAATATCTATCAGAATCTCCAATTGTACACACCTTCATGGAACAGTTTATTTTCCAGGAATCTGAAGGAAATAATCAAACAGGTATATCAAAATGTATCAAAAGGATGTGCAGTGCATCCCTGTTTATAATACATAATAAACAGCAAAACAATGAAAGAAACTTACCCATTAGTAAGAAACCGGTTAAATAATGATAAATTCATACAATGGAGTATCGTATGATCATTAAAATGATACTGTGGCTACTTAGTGACAGGAAAACATGTCCATGATAACTGAAAAAAAATTACAGAATACTCCATATAGTTACATAAATATACATATTTTATGTACATATCCTATAGTAAAAGATTTAGGACATACAACAAAATGTTAATGGTACTTTCTCTGAGAGTTAATTTTTTTAGCCTGACAAAATGCTGAAAAGAATAAGAAGCAAGAAAATTGAATGCACTATTTTAAGTCTCATTGCCTTTTTGTTTTTTTCTAGAAAGCCTTTCTAAAACAACAGAGATGATGGCTGATTTCTTTATTTACTACCCACACTAAACAGGTTGGCTCCCGATTGTATTATGCCATAAATTATTCTCTGTTACTTGTGTGTAAGTTTCTTCCCCTCAACAAGAGAGGCATCTCAGGGACAGACCTTGCCACAATTACATTCTGTGACACAACAGCCTGGAATTTCCAGTAGTGTCCCAATCTCACATAATTATTTTTAATAAAAGCAATTTGTTAAATTAGATATCTATTTTTTTTAACCCTAGTTGGATTTACATATCAACAAATATATTGTTCCTACTTTATATTTCCCAGAACAACTATAGGGCTGGACACAAAGATATTTTTTCCATTTCTCCCTTACAACTGATCTCCTGACAAATGCCTAAAAGATTCTGTCACATTGGACAACATTAACTGAAAAATGCTTACACTTATTTACCATATTGACTATCCCACATGAAAATTATGAGTTGGGGATCTACTAACAACACAGTCTAGTATGCAAATTATAAAGCACCTTTTAATCAGCCGGTCCAGAGATCCTCTACTACAATCCCCTTTGTGAAACAGAACCCCTTAGACAAGGGAAGACTTACCCCTCCACCCCCATATCCTCTCTGTGAAGCCGCAGCTGGTACAGATCTTGAATTTGGGATGTTCCCAGCACTCAGAACCCTAATCTCATATCTGCAACCGGCAGAAGCAAGCCCAGCTCCCCTTATTGGTCTCCAGAGGCCTGGGAAACCCAAGGGCCACCCAGACCGGTTTGGGGAGTCCGATGAGAACAAGAACGGATAGAATGCCATCCTCCTCCCCCACCTCCCCGCCCCCGCCCGCCGTCAAATGCATCCACCTGGCCACCAATCCTCAGACCCTTCCCTAGTTACCCACTCCTCGGAGGGGGCTCCCAGGCACTGAGAAGTCTCCAGAGGAGGGAAGGTCGCAACCCCTTAACCCGGCGCAGCACACCAGGCCTCCCTGCCCCGCCCCCGCCTTCCGCGCTGAACTGAGAGATCACCCGCCAACCGCACCCCAAAACACCCTCGGCTCTTCCACCCCCGCCGCTCCGGGGGGCAAACGGCTACCCCGAACGTTCCAGCTGGGAGCAGGAGGGGTTGCATCTCCGGTCTCCGGAAGGGAAGTGCGGGGCGCCTCGGGCCTATCCAGGCCGCCCACTCCCCACGTGGCTGCAGTCACTCAGCCTTCCAAAACGCGAGGCGGGGGGGGCGCCCAGTTTCTTGGGATCCAAGGGAAGAGGGGGAAGGGGGATGACGCAGGTGGAGAGGGGGCTACGCGCCCGAAAGGGCACCTAGACCGAGAAATGGGAGCTCAGGGGGGAGTCGAAGACCCTGGCGTTAATTTGGGGAGAAGAATCCACCTTTGGTGCTTGGAGCTCCCCTCTCTGCAGTGACGCGGAAGGGGGTCCTCGGTAGAGAGGAGGGACCTGGTGGGGAAGAGGGCACCCATTTTCAATAAATCCAAGGAGGCGGTTTGGAGACACCTCAAACAGGTTTCCTAAGAAGAGACAGGGTCTCGAGGGTGACATAGGGCTGGCAACCCTTTTATCCAATCTAGCGGCAGCTGTGTGTGTGCGCGCGCGCGTCCCAGCCCGTCCCAGGGCCTCAAAGGGATGAGACTTCCCTTACTACCGAGCCGACTGCCCTCAACCCGTCGCCCCCGCGCCCCTCCATTTGCCCGGCCCGGGAGGGGCTCTAGAGGGCCAAGGGCACCCTGTACTCTCACCTGGTGCTGGCGGCCGCGCAGCCCCGGGCCTGCAGGGGAGCGCAGGGAGGAAGACGAGGGAGAGGAAGACACTCGCAGCCGGGCGGGGCGGGGCGGGGCGGGGCGGGAGTCAGGGCCTGCTTCCCCTCCCCCGCCCCGCCCTCCTCCGCCCCTCGGCTCCGCTGGGCGGGGCTCTCCCCGCCCCCCCGGCAGGAAGGATCCGCCCACGGCGGACACAGCCGCGGCGCCGGCCATCTGCGAAGCGCGCTGTCCCGCAGCGTTTTGGAGCCGCCCAGAGACGCCCCAAAGGAGGAACCCATGAGGAAACTGAGGCTTAGAGAGAGTGGTCCTTCCTACACTCTTAGCTTGAAATGAGACTTCTCAGGACATCTCTGAGACAGGTGGACTGGCAGCTGAGAAGGGGTTTTCGCAGGGTCTTAGGGCTTCCCCTGCCTAAATACCCTGAACCGGCTCTTCTGGAAACATCTCTGGAGCTCAGGACTCACAAGCGACGAGGTCCGCCCTTCGCTGGAAGGTTTGAAAATGCAAGTGTCACGAGCCAGTGAGTTCCTTAAAGATGGATTAGATTAGTATTTCCGTTTTCTAGATGAAAAAGGCCAAACCTGAGTCCCTCAGTTCTCATTCAGTGCCCGAATACATGTTTCCTGCCCCAAATCCAGCCCATAGAGCAGAGTTTCTCAAGGGCGGTGCTTGACATTTGGGCGGGAAAATTCTGTGTTGTGTGGCTGTCCTGTGCACTGTAGGATGTTTAGCAGCATCCCTGGCCTCTCCCCACTAGATGCCAGTAGTACTCAGTACTCCCCTTCCCCCTAGTTGTGACAACTAAAAATGTCTCCAAACAAATGTCCCCGATTGAGAACCACTGCCATAGAACATTCTTTAGGAAAGAGAGAAGCAATCACAGGGTTGTAGCAAGGACTGGTGCAATAATGGCTGTGAAGAACTTAGCACATATTTGGCACGTAGGAGGGGCACAAAAATATTTGATATATTACTTCTTTATTGTGTGTGTGTGTGTCTTGTCAAGGCTGCTTGGTTTATTTTCCCTTTTTTTAATTTAGATATAATTGACATACATTATACTAGTTTCAGGTGTACAATGTAATGATTCAACATTTGTATATATTGCGAAATGATCACTACAGTCTAGTTGTAACATTCACCACCACCATATAGTTACAGAATTATTTTTCTTGAGATGAGAACTTTTAACATTTGTTCTCTTAGCAACTTTCAAATATGCAACACAGTATAATTAACTATAATCACCATGCTGTGCATGACATCCTCATGATATTTATTTTATAGTGAGAAGTTTGTACCTTTTGACTCCCTTCACCCATTTTGCTCACCCCCCAGTGATGTATTACTTCTGCCAACTAATATTTCTAGAAATAATCAGGCTGGTGGATAGAGAAATACGCTTGGGGATAATAATAATAATAAGCTAAGGGAGTCTGCTATAACTCCACAACAGCCAAGAAAGGGGGAGCTTATGGTGGAGATAGGAGGACATGAACAGGAAAGTGTCGCAAAATTCTTCAGTTTCAGTCAGTCCTGTCTGGTTTCATGCACTTTGTTGGGCTGCAGTTATGATGAGTGCCCCACCAGGAAAAGGTTGGTTTTTTTCCTTAGGCTAAAACAGTGCAATCCCCGGTGGGTGTTGCTTTGGAAAGCTGACTTGGAGCCCACTGGGATTTTTGTTCAAGGGCGCCATCTAGGGGCGCGTCTCTGAATCCTCTAATTCCTGCCATCTCTGGCATCTTTGTAGGGCCAGCCAGGTTTTGCTTTTCCCTGTGGGTTGGCCGCCTCTCCACCATATCATGTATTCCCCGTTGGTCGGGATCTTAGCATCTCTCCATAGCATAAGGACTTGGTTCTTGTTGACCATTTGATGGGTCAATATAATAAATCCCTGTGCAGCCTCTTCTACGCCATTCCCCAGTTACTCTGGCTAAGCAACTATTTCAGGCCTCAGAAAAGATCTGTCAGGAGCACTGGGCTCTGAATAAGAAATGTGTGAAAATTTCCAGCAACAGATTGAGACTCTAAGCTGTTAATACCACAGAGATGGGGACAAGCGAGAACGTAGCTGACCTCTTCTCCCCATATTATCAGATATAGCAAATAAAAATACAGGACACTCAGTTCAATTTGAATGTCAGGTGAGCAACAGATAACTTTTTAGTATAATTATGTACCAAATATTGAATGGGACATACTTAGACTCAGAATTCTTTGTTGTTTACCTGAAATTTGAATTTAACTGGGCATCCTGTGTTTTAGCTGGCAGCCTTATGTACTTGAGGGCTGCATCCTTGCTTGGGAATTATTGAACAGAAGATTAAGTCAGACAGACAATTCTGGTGCAGGTGAGGCAGCCTGGGGGCGATGGCATTTTCATTCTCTTTGGTGGATATTTTATTTATTTTCTGTCTTTCTTCAGACTATATGTACAGGCCTTTGTTTACAGCCATGGAGCAGATTCCATAATCAGGTTCAAGTCCCAACTTTGCCACTGACCTAGCTGAGTGACTGTGGGTGGGCTACTTAGCCTCCCTGTTTCTCAGTTTCCTCAGCCATAAAATTTAGGATAATAATTGTATTTGTCTTTTGGGTTGTTGAGAAGATTTGGAGAGATGATGCTTCTTAAGTACTTAGCACAGTGCCAGCAGCTAGTGTAGCTCAATAAATGAAAACTGTTATTATTGTGTTGATATTTTTGACACAGGTAGACAAAGCACACTAAATTTCAGGTGGAGGTGTGTCTCCTACTCACCCACGGGGTTGTGGGGTTTGTGAGCACCATACTGAGCCCTTTCTAGTTCTTTACTTCGTTAGATTACAGGACCTGTTTTTTGGCGGGATGTCGGATTTCCTGCCCTGTTATAGGATGCCTGGTAATAACCCCATTTCTGTCTAAACCAAAATCTCAAACCCTGCCACTGGCTCATTTATTCCAAACACTGTTTGAAAGAGTGTATGTACCTTATGGTAGAGAATATAAATATAAGGAACGAGAAACCTCAAGGTTATTTTGAAAGTATAGAGAGCCCAGCTTTAGGAAGAAGCAAGAAAAAGGAGAAATGGAAGTATTTGGTGCTATGCGGTGCTCATTGTAGGATCTGAGAATGTTTGTCTTCTGGATGGGTGCTTGATGGAAAGAGCACTGGACTCTGGAGTCATAAGGACAGGGTTCAAATTGTATCCATGCTACTTATGAGTAGTGTCAACTTGGGAAATTTATGTGTGTATCTCTCTCAGTTTGGGTTTCTTCACTCATTAAATGGGAACATCATAGAATGTGGGGGAAAATTGAATGAAAAAACCACATAGGGAAGCATGGCTTCCAAAAAGAACTCAATGTCTAACTTGATTTCAGAAATTAAGGGAGAACTTTGAAATCGACCGTGTAACGTGCTTTAGATGTTTGGACAGCAGCTAGTGTTGTCACTTGCATGTATGAGAATACTTGTGTGTGAGTATGTGTGTGCATGTTTCTGTGTTTATAATAAGGAGCATGTTAGCCACATTTATAGGCACGTATATAGAGGGCCTACTATGTCGGGTGACCACACTGTCCCAGTTTCCCCAGGACTAAAGGGGTTCCCAGGGTGCAGGACTTAGAGGGGGAAAACCTAGAAAGTCCCAGGAAAGTGGGACGAATTGGTCATCCTTCTAGTATGTGCAAATTGCTTTACAGGCATTATCCCATTAAACCTTCACACCTATCCTATGAGGTAGGTACTCACATTGTTGCCATTTTACGTAAAAGAAGGACATCTGGAGAGATTAAGCAACTTGCTCAAGCCACATAGCTGCTTAATGAGAAGGGCAGGATCTGAACCCAGAACTGTCTCTAGCTCTAGAGTCCAAGAATTTCACCACCATGTTAAGTGCATTTAGGCCTCTCCAAAGGCACAGTGTCTTATTGCCACTCACTTCTACATTTCTGGATCATTGTTAAATACTTTCCCATCTTCCCTTCTGTCATCAACACTTCCTGCTGCCCAGCCAGGCCTCCAACAAAGAGAGAGACCAGGACACAGAGCAAAG